ATTGGATGGCTATTGTCGTTGAAGAAGTTCTGTTTATTCCCTCTTCCGATTGCCAACATGAAGCTCAAGCACATCCAACATCGGATCGTCTTGGATTATCACAAGATCCGATTGCCAATAGGAACCACTTCTTCCAAGGAATTTCATCAGAGCTTCTTTCCGGGGGGGTCTTGTGTTTGGATGTGTTTGGGCTTTGTGGCTGCTTGGTGCAGTTCATCCTTCTATTTGTTCTTGAAACCATGAGTGGACAGCACATGAGGCCTGAGTGAGCAGATGAGCACCACGGAGCACGTGCTGAGTGAGCAGATAGCGCCGACCACTGACGGGTGCGACGAAAGCAAGGAATGAGGGTGGCTGGATGCTAAGGAATCTCTATTAAGCATTATTCCCTCTACCCAATAGCCTTCATGACTTCTACCACTTTCCTTTACTATGATGCTAGGTATTTAGCAGATGAGCCAGGCGCCTCCCTACGACTAAGCCTTTCGGGTGGCACATCTGGCCTCCGTCGGTCTTCGACCGGCCACCTCCGGGTGCCACCGGAGGTAGACAGGTGTTCCACCTAAGTGAGCCCCTTCGGAACAGAAACGAACCGAAACTAACGTCATGTTTCTTTTTTTGGCGGGGGCATGCAGGCTGATGTCGTAAGCTGCACCTTCAAGCTGAATAGTGATGAATTACATGTGATGACTGTAATTTGGGTCGACCAAAAGTGAACAATCTTTGTTGTTCCTCATGGTCTTTACTTTCTCATCACCAAGAAACATGTTCAAGATCGATGTAGGCACCATATACTTTGTGCCTGCGGATGGTCAAACACATGTCAAACCCTATAGGGCTCCAACCACATCCTCAGAAGGTAGTTAGACCCCCCCAAGCCCACCCCAACCACCTTCGACTTCGGATGTGGTTGGAGCCCTAGGAAATATAGATAGGCTTGGTGTGCCCCCTCTACACTTCTTAATGCATCGAACATGTATATGTAGAGGTAGGGACTTGCTAGACTGGCCAAACTATGGGGTAATCCCCGAATTTGGCAGAAGCATCTCCACATCCTTTGCCGAATGAAGCAGGTTTGTGAAACACTCACCTCTTGCCAGGGACCTTGAAGATGGATCTATTGCTTGCATTGGTTTTGAAGTGCCAAAATTCAGCCTCAGACATGTTTTGAGCGTCGTTTCTTCTTCTACAGTATGCAGTATGCTAAAGTATTCAGGACAAGGATCTCTGATCTTCAACTGCTGAAAATGTTTTGTTTCCCGCGTGGTGGGCTTTGTTGCATTTTTGCATGGCTTCATTCGAGCTTTTCGCATGGAATGACTTGTATTCTAGCACCATGTTTGGCGAACATCTCCTGGTTTACAATCACACTATACATGACTGTACTGTACATACATGCGCTGTTGCTGCTGAAGGAGGTAAGTGTGTGTTTGATATTGTTTGATAACCCTGCAGGCTACCAGACAAAACAGCTTGATTGTACTCTGATGACTGAGGTGGTATGTTTATGAGTTCTTTGGGAAAGGACATAGTTTGAGTATAGGTGTTGCTTCAACACTAGAGGTGGCGAATGCGCCCAAGCAGGCAAGCAAGCAATCGATCAAACAGAAGAGCAAACAATCCATCAATTCTAGCAATTATGTATGCATGCGTTTTGGCAATCTTGCCATTGCGCCTTGTGCTTTCACAGTTTAGGGCTGGCCAAAGAGGCACAGCAAGACGATAGCAGAAGTTTGGCTGGAGGGTCCGCAACTCCAAATCAAGAAATTCCCGCTGTGGCCTCCGAAGCCAGGGAGATTCCTTGAGTCCTCGCCGATTCCATCTCTTCGAAGGAACATCGGCCAAGAACATCCGCTTCGGATGGAATCGTTTCCTTGAGAAGAACATGGAAAACGATTCCATCTCTTCGACCGAAGACAGGAACCGAGTCGACTCGCACCCAAGAGAGCCCAGACACGACGGACTGCCATGCGACTGCCATAGGACTGGCACCCCTCAACCCATCCCAACTGATCGGCAGAGATGGTAGTCCCAGACAGGTCGTGTCTGGGTCGAATGGAAATCGGTAGATGTTGGGTCTGTCCGAACGGATCGGTAACTGATCTGTGAACAATTAGTGCCCATTTTTGAACAAGGCCTGCAACTGAACCATCATCCATTGTTACAGGTATTAGGATAGATCCGTATAAACATGTGTACATACTGTATATATATATATATGTGCAATAAATACTGTAGATGTCCACCAGGATCTTCCAATAGTATACCTGGATCTTCCAATGGTGCCGAATTTATGCCTTTTCATCTATATAACTTACCAAAAGGCACAGACATGGCACAGTTGGAGGATCTAGGCATGGAACCTGATGGCATGAACCAGGCTGGAAGACGATTTTCCGAATACCAACCCGGGCGTGGTTTTCAGGTTCCATGTGGGCCTCTTTCAGAGTGCAATGTACGGTAGATGTATATGGTTCAATGGAGTGGTTCAATGGATGTTTTGTGGAGAAACTGCCGCCCCGGGCTTGCCCGGATCCTAGTTGGATATACGATGATAAGACGAATCCAAGCTTCCTTGGGTTGAAGTTCATTTGCTGACCCCCTTTGTTGCGACCCTCCAGGAAGCCCCTCTCCCTCGCGGCGCGCGGTCAGATGTGGGGGCGTGTGCCAGCCGTTGATGTTGAGGTTGCAGGTAGCCAAGTATCTTGCACCCTCAGACCTGGGGATGAACAGTGTGGAACTGCCAGTCACTGGGGGCCAAGTACCTTCTCAGAAGGTACTTAAGACCCTCCAAACCTGCATATCAGTGTCTCCAATCACCTTCTGAGAAGGTACTTGGATCCCTAGGGGCCTATCGAGGCACTGCACCAAATTTTGATTTGTTTTGAGCGGGCTTCATGCAGTCCACTACATGTTCACCGCCCGTACCGTGACTTGTCAACTGATCAGTCAATGTGCCACAATGGATTTGTTGATATATATATATATATCATATATTATATATATACCAGCTGCTTCCAACGGGTCACCAATGGACAACCCTACACTACATATATGTCTCCATTAGTGCTCGGGGGCCGACGAAAAGGACATTTTGGTGAACTGTACACTCGCGAAAACTGACATAGACCCTGACGTCCTGGTCCCAAGGAAGACGATTTTCCTCTACCAACCAGGGGTTTCAGGGTCCATGTTAGTCGTCTTTCAGGGTGTGAGATCAAATTGTAGGCTGAGGGCCCTTGGCCACGCACAAAGAAATTGTGGCAGCACGGTTGCCAGCGACAATGATGTCCTGAAAGCGAGGCAGCTAGCTTTGGCAGGGCAGACGCCGATCTGGAATGCTTTTGGCCAGCTTCAGGGTTGATGGCGGACATCCTTCGTTGAAAGGACCCAGTCCATTGATTGTTGTGCCAAGGCATGCAAACCACCTGCTTAAAAATATGCGACTTTTCAACTTCTTTCAACATGCCACCCAGCTGTTTGACCCAAACATGTCTCAAAACGTGCCACCTCCGGCATCCATTGCCACCAGTTCAGAACTGCTGAGCATCCATCCGTTCGACGTTTTCACCGGCAAAATACGCGGAGGTGTCTTGTGTGTGCCACTCACTGAGCGGAGCTACAGTCGGGAATCCGACCCTAGAAAGTGTGGCTATGGCCAAGAATGTGTTGATTGACAGGATCATGCTTGATGGACCCAGTAAAATTGGTTATTTCACCGCCTTGACTAGTGTTTCTTCTTTAATGACCAACTCCAGCAAAATGAGGTCATCAGGGTGAGTTGTTCATTTTTTGAGCCTCGCACCTACACACCTACCATGAGCTCATGAGTTTTTCAGGCCATGGGATTGCCATATTTGCCTACATTGGAGCGGTTTGGGGATTGAGTACATGAAGTGCTTGGGAAAGGATGTCCTTATCAACCTGAAACCTGCAAAGTTGGCAAAAAGGTGTCGGTTTTGCCTACGTCGAGTGGTTAGTGCGTTGGGGCGGAGCGGAGTGATCGAAAGGTGCCATGGTAGGCGGCCTTGGCACAGATCCCCCCAGGCCACAGCTTTTGCCCATACCCACACGGAGTGGTAAGAGATATGAGAATGTGCCCAACCCAGCGGTTTGTATCGTGGAAGGTTAGGGGGGCCACAACTCAGACTTATAGAACACCAATTTGTTTACACTCAGATGTTCCAAGCTGTGAACATCTTACAACCGATCTGATAGGCTGTAACCAACTGCCTCAAACCCAGGATTGCTTTGACCTCAGGCCCCTTTACTTTGTATAATTCACCTCGATCTCACAATCCACCCAGCCTTTGGGTGCTTGCCGTGGAGAATGAGGAGACATGCACCTTTGCGATCCCAAACCTATCGGCTCCAGGTGCCTCCTTTTCGGATGGTCTTGACGGGTGAAAGTACGTCCAGAGACGTGGCCCATGACGGGCCTCCGATTCGGACGTCTCCTGGACCCCGTGTAGGAACCGTCTGGGCCCGTTCATCGTTTGGTCCCCAACCGCAGGACTCTCCCGCCGAGAGGAAGCTCCATGACTCTCCAAACTCCATGACTCTCCCGTGCACATGACTCTGACACATGAAACACCTCCATTTTTCTTAGGGGTCCATGCAAGTACCTTCTCAGACGGTACTTGTAGCCTTAAAACCTACATGACAGTGTCGAATACATCACCCTTTGAGAAGTTACTTGGATCCCTAGGGATTATCATCAACAGAGGTTAAGCAACCTGAATAAAGGACCCGTTTGGCTGCATTAGCCTGCTGGAACAGTCTTTTTGTGGGGTTCTTCAACCTCCGTTGGCACTATCAGGTCACTTCTGAACTAATGAGACACAATCATTATTTTCCAAACGCGTCCATTATCATCCACGTAATCTGGCGTAACTTTCGACCCTCCAGCGATTTCGGTCACCTCTGAGTCTTCGCCAGGTGACCGTGACCGCCGCGGCGACGACCGCGACCGCCACGGCGCCGCGACGCGCCGGGGCGAGGATCGCGAGCGCCGCGGCAACGACCGCGACCGCCGCGGAGAGGACCGAGGCGGGGCGGCCCTCAGACTTAAGGAGTGAAAAGCCAACGGAGATTGCGACCGTGCAGGCTGACAATGTAGCACTCTGCACTCTTGATTAATAAGCCAATATCATGTATGAAGAGGAACTGTCCAATTCAACTGGGGGGGTTTACCGATGAAGAGTCTTACAAATTTTGTTGGGGACCTGAAAGTCACAGAGATGGCGCCCCCCTCCAGTCACGAATCACGACCCCTGTTTATGTTGCTGGTGTCAAACACCACAACTCAGAAGCAGCACCTAGAAGGGGGGTGTCACGATCGAGGACCCTGATCAGTGGGGTCCCAAACGGATTACCAAAACCTTCTACAGGTCCAGCTAAGCCTGATTAATTCAGGAGTGGGAATCTTTCAGTTTTGGATGATGTAAGTTGGGTAATTATTCCAGGTAGAACTGTGACAGGCTATTCTAAGCTATTCTAAGCTACCCACCCGATGCTTCATGATGCCTTCCCTCATGTTAACCCTCGACAGGTCGCGACGGCCGGGAGGGCCGTGGTGGCGATGAAGATCGTCGGGCAGCTGAGAGGATGTGGAGGTTCTTCAAGTCGCTGAAGTTGAATCGGAATGGCCTTGACGAGTTGGACGGAATGGCCTTGAATGTGGAAGTTCTTCCGATCCACATGAGACGCAGTTGCATCGGAATGGCCTTTGGATATCTAAATTAACTACACTCTGACTGTCTCACATCACATGGTGGAAGTGGATGGCATGGCCCCGAAAGGAAGACTTTCCTCTACAAACGGTGGGTTTTCCACTTCCATGTGTTCGTCGGAGTGTATCTATGGCTCCAGTCGTACCTTCGAGAAACGGAGGTGCGACTGGAGCCCAAAACGGGACATTGGATAGTCCACCGGTCCACCCTGCCCCAGGCCCAACCGGTTCCGAACCCAAAAACGCTGCCCGGCTCAAGGTCCTGACCGGCGCTACGCCGCGGCCACCACGCCCACCTTGCGACCCAGGCGCGGCAACGGTCACCCGGGGTGGTTGGTAGTGTCAGCCGGCTCCTGTAGGCACAACTCAGATTGCGATGACGTCAGTCTTCGGGAGAACACTTTTGGAGGTGATGTTGCGAGTTTCTTGAGCGGCGGAACCCCGGCTCCAATAGCCCTCAGACTCTACGGACCCTAGGGCCCCAAGTACCATCTAAAGAAGGCGTTTGGGGTGGGTTTAGAGGGTCCAAATACCTTCTGAGGAGGCACGACTGGAGCCCTAGCGCTATGGATTTCTGCATGATGTTTTCGAGTTACTTTTTTTGAAATACATGGCCCAGCTCGGGGCACCAAAAGGCTCTGGGCCTGGGGTGTTGGCTCATTTTTGTATGAGGCCAGACACCGAGCAACGCCCCGAGCAACGCCCAGCCACTGAGCTGTGGACCGAGCTGACATCTTGACCCATCGGGTTGGGGTGGTTGACAAAAAGCGGTTCGAAAGGAGTCGATGTAGTATAGAATAGGCATAATTACTTGCCCTGGACACTGGAGCCAACATGGAAATTGAAAAAACAAACCGGCCTCCTTTTGGGGCTATGCCATCATATGCCATCCACTTCCATGTTAGTTCCATGGAGTGAACGATGTATACCGTATGGGCCCTAGGGCTTGGATCCTCTAAACCCACCCGAAAGACCTTCTTAGAAGGTACTTGGAGCCGTTGGAGCCCTAGGGATATATATAAATTCCACACACGGAGTGTTTGGGAAGTGAGCTGTTGGAAACCTTTGAACTTCGATCTTCCTTTGTCTGGACCCATAGATCTCCCGGCGGGGTCCATGTGGTCTTTCAGGTGGAGCGAGACCCTTATTTTTTTGTGGAAAACGGGGTTCCTTTTCCTTACATGGGACAAAATATGGGACTCTAAATGGATGACCCTTAGTTTCATCAAACCAAGCTATACCCTAGGGCTCCAGGCCCATCTCCTCAGTTGGGTACAGACCCCCCCCCTGGCGACTAAACTAAGCCCACCAGAGGCCCGGCCAGAGGCCCGGCCTCCCCTGGTCTTCAGTCGCACCCTTCTGTCTTCAGCCGGCCTTCGTTCCGCTTCACCGGTCGCCCCCCCGTCGACAGGCCGGGCCAGGAGGAGCGTGGAGGCCGGGGACCGGCGCGGACGTACATGCGTCGCCCGCGGCGGAGAGGAAGAACACAAATCATACAAATAGGCGTTGAGCAAGTGAACCTCGTAATCTCAAGTGCACTGAATATGCCAAATGGTCAACATGACGGCAGATATTATGGGTATTATAATGTATTATATGGTATAGATTGGAAGCCCTAAACCTTCCCCCAAAAAAATGTAGGCATATGCATCTGGCATGCATACCATGACATGAAGTGTTTGGGTTTTCGGTGTTGCAGTCCCAGTCTCCGATGTAGGGAATCCACGGTCACGGACACCCACCGAAGCAACCCACGGCACGTGTGAAGATGGGAACGCTGGGACTGTGTATATGGTAGTCGATCGAAAAGTCGACATAAGGCCTATGCCACTGAGAGCCTCTTCAAGAAGAATGGCCTGCCAGCAAGAAGGAATTTTGATCAACCACCACATATATATATATATATTCATTTATTTATACATAGAGAGAGAGAGTTCTGCAAGTCATCCCTGTTGAAGGAGGTTGGGCTCTAGGTTGTTTTTTGACGGAGCATCGTGTCCCACCGGCTGTTTCTTCCACCGGTATACCAACCAGACGCACCACTCATCTACTTCACACATCTTGGCTGACCAACACACATGTATCTCCTGCGGCCTGCTTGTACCCCTACCACGACAGGTTAAGGAGTGCCAAGTGTCCATTAACCACCAGAATCCATGTACTTGAATTACTTGAGGCTGTTGATGTTGCTTTCACTTTTCGGTGCTAAAACATTGCCATTGAATCCAAGCATGGCTTGACAGGGCCATCATCCATTGGCGCATATTGGCGCTTTTCCATCGCTGTGCCAATGACAGGATCGTCCAAGCAAAGCCTATTTGTTGCTTGATCTAGTTATATATAGACTGTGCAGAGGAGGGACGCCCGGCAGGGACTTCAAGTCTTTTGAGACTGCTTATCCCCAGGGTCTTTGTATGTCCATCAGAGCCTCCCGCAGCACCGAAGCGCGCCTCAAATCCCGGGGGCCTCCCAAACGCGACGGTCCTTCTGGGAGACAAAGGCGTGCCAGCACCTGCGGGGCGTGGGGGTGTCGGGGGCTGGGGTTGTTGTATGCAGCATTTGAAAGGCGAGTGCGCTGAGTACACCCGCTTAGAGGTACCTGAAAATCATTCTGTCGGAAGGTTGATGTTTGAGTTTCGCTTCAATGGGGATGTAAGTGAAGAGAAACTGTGAAGAACTGGAATGGATGTCGGAATGCTTGTGAAGAGGTGTTTCTGCCATAAATTCAAGCATTCCGTCGACAGCGTGATCCTGGACTATGTCCAGAGAGGTCATAGTATCGGAGCCTTTTGCGGCTGGACATGTGCAATCTCTGGACCTTTCCAAATGTCCAAACATATGCAGTCAGTGCTTTTTGCTTCAGCCCTTGTGCAGTGAGAGAGGTTTGTTTGTTTATTTGTTTTGCCAGGTGCGATTGTTGATCCAGGATAGTTCTCATGCACTCTCTTTGAGGGTTCTATGCCCCTGGCTGTGGAACCACAAAGATTTCCCGTGAAAATGCAAGGTGTGCTGATGACCATGTTTTCCCACCAATCAAGCATCTAGACCCTTTTTCGACCCAAAATGGCCGACTGCACCCCCTTCTCCCTGCCAAGAATGACCCCAGATCTGGTGAATCGCCTTTTCTGTTTGCCCCTCAGATCTAATGTTGTGGCTAATTAGGTTTGTTTGCATGTTTCTTTGTACATCATGACAACTTTTCTACCGCACCGACCTGAGTGTCTACGGTAGTGCTACAATACGTAGCTGGCAGAGATGTAACAGATGCAAGTTTGAGACTTCAGACCCCCTTTTGACCCAGGTGAAAGATGGGCCGCTTAACGGTCAGTGTGGCGGCCTTAGAGGACGCGGTAGGACCAACAAAACGGGTTTTGTGTTGAAGCCCTGCCTTTTGATAACCAAGACTTGTGTTGAAACATGTGGACACCATGCAGAGATGAGACAGCTAGACTCAGCTAGATTCTTGCAGAAAGAGGGGGGGATCAACATGCAGATCTGACAGATGAACCTATCCAGATTTGTTCAATATATCATAGCTTTGTGTTGTGCTACATTGCTGTAATTTGAAGCTTGGGGTGTGGAGTTCGTTTTTTCATGACACTTCACCCGGTTGGGCGGCTGGGACGGCCTTTCCCCGTAGGTCCAGTCTGACGAAATAAAGCCTGGAAACCTCATGGAGTGGTGTTTTTGCATGAGCAACTCGAGCAAATTTGAGGTCAAACTGGTCTGTAGGCTTTGCTTTCTTGGACGGCGGAACCGCAGGCCTACTCAAAAAGGGTAGTGGTGCGAGAGGTTGAGCGAAGCGGAACACATCGTCCTCGGAGGGTTCAACTTCCACGTGCCACTTTTTTGGACATGCAAGTGGAAAGCAATCTTTCCACTCATGTAGGCCAGAGAGGATTCCACCAAGACATAAGATTCAGGTCTTTTGCCGGCCCCATAAGAATGTATGAGAAGAACCATGCGGACTGAACTTCATTTATCCCTGGTACCAGGCTCAGCCAGGCCCAGAACGGAACAAAACATTGAAGAGACAGGGTTTGCACAATCTAAATCCTGGTCCGACCTGGTTTTGGTAGATCAAGGTGTCGGGAGTTCCACTGTTGGGGGTCACAGACATACACTCCCCAACATCAACGTGGGCTACCGTGGATGTGGAACCATGAGTGCAGCCCACTCCACTCCAACAGAGGTTCAAGAACCCCCATCAATGACCATTCCCAATATAGGTACCCCAGCAATTCGGGTCCTATTTCAGGTCACGCCTATATATAGAGGTCTGAGGTCGACTTCTCTTGGGTGAGTGGATAGTGGGCCGCTGGCACGCTCCGACTCGCGCTCCGCGCGTGACGCGCCCAGATCCGACGACGGGCCTCGGTCGAAAGCCCAGCATGGGGTGTTGGGTGTCTTTGGGAGGTCTCCTCATTGAAGACACACAGCCAAACTGCATCTCAAATGCTTTAGGAGGGTTCTTGTAAAGAACTGAGTTTTCTTTTGAGCTTGTGTCACTTGCGAAATGATTCTTTAACATTTGTGAGTCCCAGAGTAGAAGGGTGATAAATCAATATACTGTATATATATATATCCATGTGCCCTCCCACAAACACATCACCCGCAAAGCGGGGACTTCAGCACCGGTTTTGCAGTTGGAACATGGGTCTTCCAGGTGCCCATGCCATTCGGTTTGCGGGAATCCTTATCTCGGTCGAGCCTCATTCTACTGGATGGATGGATGGATGGATGGATGGATGGATGGACGGACGGACGGAGGGATGGATGGATGGATGGATGGATGGAAGGACGGACGGACGGACGGATGGATGGATGGATGGATGCCCCACTTTTGGGAGTGTTTTGGAGGGTCCAGGGGGTTGTGTCAGTGCTATAGCAGGGTTCATCGCACAGAAGCGCAGAACCCTTGGTAGAAGATCCTTGCCACTTTCAGGCTGAAAGTTGAGGTGATGAGAAAAACAGTGCAAACAGAGAGTGCCCATGGTTTTCTTGGAGTTGACTACCTGTTTGGGGTGGGATTTCATGGTCAATGCCATCCACGCATGCGTTGGATTTCAGGGGAGTCTTCGATTCCATCGGTTCCCAGATCTTCGATTCGCCTCCTCCGGACGAAGTCGTCTGCGTCAAGTTCGGCTGCGCGTGCGCAGCTGATGCGCCTCGCCTCTGAGGCATGCGATCGGTCCTCCGGGTTGTCCTTAGGGCTTCCCCCAGAGGTGGAGCAGAAGTGGGGCGTCCCAGGAGAGAGAGAGAGAGAGAGAGATCGCAGGTGCGACGATCACTCCGACGTGACGCACATCCCCGGTGCTACGAAAGTATGGGCTGAATTTAGACCAAAAGATGCACACAAAGCTTCATCAGAAACATAGGCCATTGGGTTTTTGCATGAATCAGAAACCTGAAGGTTGGTACACATGAGTCATGAGTTCGGTTGAGACCTTTCCTCATCTTGCTTGGTGCCCGGTGCCGTGAGCACGACCTCCGAGATCCTCCGAGCACGTCCGAGCCACGCTTCCCACGGATGAGCAGGTCTGGTCTAAACATGCCATGAGGCCATGGGCCATGATGAATTGGTTGCTCAAAGAATTGGTTTGTGGATTGAGGGTAGGTTGCAATCCCCCAAGTCTGGAGGTTTATATAAACCCCATCCAAAAGACAACTTGTTTTTGTTCCATCTCCTCTGAAGCCACTGTACAGCCCAGTGCAGCCGAGTGCAGCCTCGAACTGTCAATGGGTCGACGGCAGGAGTTCAGTGGGTCGACAGGTTCTTCTTTGCCACACACCTTCCCTAGAATTCCAGTCATACCTTCCCAGAAGGTACGACTGGACGCTTCAAATCTACATGACGTGCTGTCGAACACCTCACCGTACCTGAGAAGATACGAAAACGGATCCCTATAGGGCTTCAGGTTCTTGTCTCCTCGAAACTCGTGGGACAAGAGGAAGGACTGCTGTGTCGCCCCTGCTGCTGAAGAGCAGTGCTTCGACTCTCCCGAACCAATTCTAAGCGGACGGCCATCAGCAGCATCAAGGAGGGGCAAACATGCTTGCCGGTGTTCTTAGGCACCCAAAGAATGACATGATGTTGAGAACTTGGGCATGTATGGAGGCAAAGGCCCAACAATGAAAGGCATAGATCCCACAAACAGTCCTAATTGCGTGGGTGGTGCACCTTCCTGTGAATCCATTATGTTATTCGGAACGCGTCTGCAGCTTCCATGGGGGTATTTTAGGGGAGGCAATTCCCAAGAACTCTAAGAGAGACAAAGAGAGAGAGAGAGAGAGAGAGATAGAGAGAGAGAGAGAGTGTGAGCGAGCGAGCGAGTGAGTGAGCGAGCGAGTGAGTGAGTGGGTGAAGCTTTTGCGAGGTTGAGCGAGACCATTCTTGAGATACAGCACTCCAATGTGTGGCACAATGAATTGCCGATCAGTTGGAGTGGTCGCAGGTTGTTTTCATGCAGCTATAGCTACCCTAGGCTTCCAAGACCATTCAAACAATGGTGGTTCTGTAAAGGCCATTAAAACAATGGTTGTTGGAAGCCTAGGGGCTATATGCTTTGATGCGTTCCGAGCTGCACGGATGGTGGGAGATCAAGTGACGCCGTCCCGAATCGTCACCGCCGGAACCTGGCGGTTGTTTCAGCGGACGAGGCCTTTCTGGCAGCGTGAGCTAACAGCGGCTTGGCCAGATGCGGTGTTCAGCCTGAGAGAGTTAGGAGGGGTCAAACTATGGGAGACAAAGCCCACTGAGTGACTTCCAACATTGCAGTTGACAATCAGCAAAGATCACGGGGGTACGTGGGCGGGGTGATCTTAATACCAATGTATAACTGTAAAATGTAATAATTACTCTTATTCATTAAGCTGGTTGATCTAGTGAGTGACTACTTATATTGGAAGATCAGGAAATGAAAGGATGATTCGAAGAGTCCTGTTGCCACAACTGGCACTTGATTTGGCCCGTCAACACGCGGAACTGAGTTGGAAATAGAGGTGAGTTAGTGCATCTATGGTAGGGTGTTTGCTATTTTTGGCCAGATCCATGCGTGCATTTATTGTTAGCCTTCGTGGGCCATGCGTGCAGAAGTCAGCTCCAGCTGTTTCAACCATACCCCCGCAAGAGCGATCACATGTCTAACTTTTACATGCAAGTAAGGTATTTCAGATGCTCCTGGCTCGAACCAGGATGACAAACAGCCCATGAATAGAGTTCCGTGTCATACTTCATCATTTCAAGCTCATTGCCTTCTTTTTTTCGGGTCCTTTGGGTGCCGCATGTCGCATGTCACATCCGAATGTGGGCGTGACTCCTCTCCCCGCGATGCCGGGCCCGTTCGGATTCTGAGGGTACAAGGTGTCTGGATCCTTCAAGCTTTCAGAGGGTGGCTGTGACAATGCTAAGGTATAGCTGAGGTTAATTCAAACCCAGCTTTGAGGCGTGCGGTGGCGCTAAGTTGATTACGTTATACTACTAGGGTGTGGCCCATGACCCCCATAAAGAGGTAACATGAAGCCCCTTTCGAAGCTGCTCATTGCATATCCGTATTGGCGAACGTTTCATTGACCAAATACTGGGGCCAGTCAAGCCCGGGTCCTCCTACTCCGAAGAAGGTGCGATTTGTGCCCTTCTTGCGTTTTCGGCACGCAAGAAGCGCGCAGAGAAGCGGCTCGAAGCGGCTCACCTCAGATCATGTCAGGGCTACAAGCAGGTGATTGGCCATCCCACGGGCCTCCTCTTGCTTTTGGTGCCCTTGGGCTTCATGGGTCGTACCCTGCAATGGAGCCTTGGCAAGACGAGTCCCTGACTCGGCGGGAACGGGCGCCTGAGGGGCGGTTTGTCCACCAGCGGAGGGGTGTGGAGGCCTGGCGCAGTCCAGGTGAAATTTGGAGTGTTCAGCCGCTTGCTGTGCTAGCAGAAGGGCCAACCCCGGACAGGGGAAGGTGGCTGCTTCGATCCATGGTCCTCCACTCATGGGAAGCTGCGCATGGACTTGCAATGAGCATGTTCTTCTGGGTGTTTGAGAGTGTGACACTGTTCCAGAGAATGGGAGACAAGCAAAAACCAACAGGTCCAGTACAAGGAGGTCCCTGTACTTTTTAGGCACATTGAATGATCTTGAATCTTGAATCAGAAAGAAACAGTTCGTCCAGTTCACCACTACAGGCTGCGTAGAAGGACAGCTCCTCATCCTCTAGCCATGTTGGCAGCGGTGAAAGTTTGCCCAAGTAGGAGCACTCTGGCCTCCTTGAGGTCCAACTGTAGCTGTTCCATGCTGTTCCAGGTCCTCACACCCAGCCAGTTTGCATGGCAGATCTCTTGAAGATATGTATAGCACGTGCATACTATATATGTCTGGCCATTTGCATACTTGATTGGTTGCTTAGATTCATAGAGGGGAATACCCCCGATTCGTGTGCAGCAACACCATGAGTCACCTGGTACCTGGTGACCAAGGTCCATCGCCGGTCGACGGTCCGTGCCATTACCCGGTCTATCCGGCCATGGGTCAGCAAGCCAGGCACGAACCCCTTGAGTGAGGCAAGGCGCATCCGATTTAAATAATCTCACATGGGTCAGCTCTAAAACTCCTTTGCCATGTTATCACCCGTCCATGTAGGTATATTACTCGTAACTATTCCATACATGGATGGTTGTGGGAGTCATCAAATGGGTCAGCTATGGTCAGCTCTAGAACTCCTTTGCCATGAGGAACTCCTTGATCGTTTGCTTGGTGAACTTCCTGGCCGCTCGGAGGGACCAGACCGAGTTCGATTCGGCCAATGGGGCCGAGCCCGAGCTAACAGCTTTGTGGTCTATATTATCCCATATGGATCCACATACCCTTTGAGAAGGTATGGGAAGGTGATTGCAGACACATGGCGCCAAAAGGGTCCAGCCATAAACCTGAGAAGGTGGCAGTGGATCCCTATAGGGATCTATAGTAGGGCAGTAGGGACTGTAAATAAATAGTTTGTTTCTCCTGGTCATCTGAGTTCCTGTCATGATTGAACACGTGTACCCATAGCCTACCTTCTGAGAAGGTGGATCCCTAGGCCATTTTCCTAGTCCTTCCTAGTCCTACTCCTCGATGAAGCACTGGATCTCTACTAGGTCCCCCGGAGCCAAACACCCCTTCATCACCTCAGGCCCGATGTGGTCCCCGGCATGCTGTTCCCACCCATCAGACCCTTCGACCTCATGTGGTCCACCCAATTCGGTGCCACATGACCTGATCCACCCAGCACCGCCAGCACCGAGTCAGGCTGGTTCTTTCGCCCCAGCCCACCATCCCGGGATCTCCAGACACACCCCGAAATGAAGGTCCAGGAGTATTCTCATGGTCTTTCTTTTCCACTTCTCATACGTATCACCTTCTGTCCATCGTATCACCTTCTTTCCTTCTGCCGGTGCTTGTCCAACGGACGAGACGGGAAAGCCCAACGATGCCGACGGCCAACCCAGGGGGGCTTACCGACTGAGGCGATCATCGGGATGGCCAACGTGCAAGCACGTGCGGTGGAGTGTGCCACTGGGCCAAAGATACGCTTGTACATGCGCGCCTGGCGCCCAACTCCTGGAAAAGTATGATTTTGTTGAGAATGGTGGTCCATATTATCGGGGTAGGACTGACTTTCATTAAATGTTCACATTCAACAGCGATCAAGGGGCGTCTACGGATGGTTCGACAAAGAACGGACAATCTTGAGGAACCTTCCTGTGGTTCATCACCTCCTTTTCTATTTCAACCCCAAGTCAAGTGGATCAGTCTGGTCACAGTGAAAAGTTGTCATTTCACCTCATCATTTTGCGGTCTCTTCACATGGAAGGACAGCCGGACCAAGATGTAGCACAGCCATGGCCCCGATCAAGAGACTACATGAATGACTTCTTTTACTAACCAGCGCCGTGGCACTATCGCGTTAGAATGTATAAATTGCATGCTAACTTACTATTGTACAAATGGATCTTCACCGGTCACCAGTCACACCCTTGCTCATCACGCACTCAGGTTGGCCTTCAAGTTTCGCCCACCATTGGCACCTGGGCCGCTCTCAGGGGTGCATGCCTTGTTGGGCAATTTGGGCCACAGGCAAGCAAGCGGAAAAGGGATCATCAGATTGAACTGAGGTCGTTGGAAGTTTCCATTCACCCAACTGCGCGGTGTATTTGGGATCCTCCAAGAAATCAAGCATGGTTGTGGTCTTAATTAAAATATACCCCCCGCAAACTAACAAGTAAGCTGACAAGTAAGCTGAGAATTGACCCAAGCAAGACAATATTCCTTTACAGCCCAGTGGTTTTTGGGTCCCATGTTAATCTCCAGGGGAGCAAAAACAAAAATCCTTCAGCATGCTGAGACCAATCCAGATTTAGCGAACGTTTACAATCTCAGAGAAAAGTGATACATCAACACAGTGATGCAAGGCATCGAAACCATGGCCGACCATGGCCCCATTTGTGGGTTTGGATTTCATGATTCCTTGGCCGTGTTCCACCAAGCAGTTCTTTCATGACCAAAGCTAGCGGTAAATCATGACAAGAGCAACAAGATTGACACATAGCTCAGTTCTGCCTAGATTCATGACTTTGGCATGACTTTAGGCATGCCAAAAAAAATAGTTGTTCTCATTGTGGTTCCGGTCTCACTGAGCAGCGTCTCCCAGGTGGTTTGGTCGACGCCTTTCTGGGGAAGTCCGTGGAACAGGTCATGGCGATTCAGCACCTTGGAGGCACCACTCTCCCAACGACGACAGAGCACGACACCAGCCACTCAGGTGCCTTCGGGCTGGCTTGCCGGAAGTCTTGAAAGCCAACTTGATGGGTTCCCTTCACTGGTGCCTCGGCACCGTTTGGACCGACAGATGGGTGGGTGTGACCTGACTCGACCTGGGCTTCGGCAGGAGACCGGAAGGGATCGTCTGCAAAGTTTGGTGATCAGATTTGCCCTTTTTCATGTGTTCGATACTTGGGGGTAGGAACATATAGGAAAATAGTAACTTAAATGTTCCTGGGTCCCCCTTCAATAGGGGCAGTGATTTTCCACCTACCCTGCCCTGTAGGGCCAAAGACCGTTCTGGTGGAAGTGGCTCTCCTTTTTGTCTTTTCAGAGGGTGATCCGTCCCCATGTGGTGCGATGGGACGCGTCCCAGGTGCCCAATGGAATGGCCGGGGGGGGAATGGCCAGACAGGAAGGCCTGTCTTGGCGTTGAGTGAGAGAATGTGAAGATCCCTGCCCAGAGCGGTGCCGAAGTACGGACTCCTTGGGCGGAAAAGCATCGTCCAAATGGCCGAAGAGTGAAGAGCACCGTTCTGAAAGGTCGGATGGTGTCGGATGTGACTGTGAGGTGCTTGCTACTGGTGCTGGGCCAGTCCATCTTCATGGCAGGAGAGCTTTGAGACCTCTTGGTGACTGGAGTGTGGACTCCCCTCAGTCTCAGAGTGGATGGGTGGTTGAAGCTTCACAGCGTGTGAAGATTTGCCACCCTCGGGCTCAAAATTGTGTTTGGGGTGGGGTTTAAGCGGTCCAGTCATAGCTTCTGAGGAGGCACTTGCAGCCCTAGGGCCAGGTTCTTGTGGTTAATGAAAGAAAGATGGGCACTGGCCCCGACCTGGATGTGTCAAGTGAGCGCATTCTCCAATTGAGCGGGCGCCAAAAATCACTTCTTTCCATCGAACTGTGCTACAGTGCAAATGATCTAACCTCCCCAGAACTTCCGTAACTTGGACTCATTTTACTCCACCTAGTAGTCAATCCATCCACCAGTACCATGGGGAGTAAAATCAGGCAAACTTGGACTCTTAGGGCTCACAGAGCCTCACGTTCTCCGTGTCAGTCCTTCATCCATCGAATTCCAGCTTCGGCCGCCGGAGTCCCAAGATGTGCCAGGATGTGCCCAGACAAGACTGATGGGACTTGACATCATATATACCGATCAGTTGCGGCGGTTGATTTCAGGGGTCAATGGGGCGGTCAAGGGGTCAATATCTCCGTCCGATGGAGCGTTTTGGTGGTTGTACATCTGAAGGCCACCTAGGCCTCACTCGTCCAGCCTGCCTCCAGGATTCAAAAAGAAGATGCTGGAGTTCAACCAGAACGGCGCAGCTGCGCAGATGTCTTGTCAGGCGATGGGAACTCCTTGGTCACCGATGGGTGTTGGAACTCGTTGGGCAGACATGCCACAGGCGTTGAGGACTGATGGTGAGGGAGGTATTGCCTGGGGCGACGCGGAAGCCTGCCAGGCAAAGCAGGGCCGCCCCAACCCGGGAAAACCAGCAGGTTGCACCAGCCTTTATAGGTGTCCAAGGGGTTTGCCTCATGTTGGTTTCTCAAGCGCGCACTGTGGACAGCTGCACGCAGTGGTCCATGGCTTCTTGAAAATAATTTGTTGATTTTAAGACTTCGCCAGCCGACCACCTGCTTCCTTCGGGCCACCTTCCCCAGTGGAGCTCTCTCCAACACCAGCCCTTTCCCCACCGCAGGTCGTGGCCTCGATCAGCATCACCTTGCCCACCTTATACGGCTCCGTGGCGGGCGTCTCTCCCGAGGACGTGCCTTGGTGACGGAGTCGGTCGGGTCGTGGGTCCGGTCGTGGGTCGTGGCCCAGGCGGTGTGACGGACGGGGCTTGCTGGGCGGTGCTCCGATGTGGGGCACATCGTGGGGAGCGAGGAGTGGAGAGGCATGTTTTGGGACCTGACATAGGCTTACCGATGACCTGGAGTTGCCCCCTGCTGAACTAGAAGCCGCTCATCAATTAGATAGGAACTGCTGGGACCTGCTACTGTAGGAGAAGTGCATCAGAGGTTCTAGACAGCCTCCTTCTCATATCATATACTATGTGCATCTATGCGCTTACCATTTTCCAAGTGCGAAAAGTATGCCCCCAAAGGGGTTGGTTGTTTCATTGTTTGTTCCATGCTGTTTCCCTCTTCTTTGCCAGGGTAAAAACGAACAAAGCACCTGCATTCCTCAGGTGTTGCTCCTCTCAAGAGTCTGTGCCCTGTTCTTGATCTTCCTCTACCTTAGTTTCATCTACTTCCACTTGAAGACTCACAAGGCTGGGGGCAACAAGCGACCGGTAAGTCAGGCTTTCCGCGGAGCTCGGCGGAAAGCCATCTTCAGAGCTATGCGTGTGCCTGCCAAATAGGCAAGTGTTGCATATGTGGCGGCCTCGGTAGTGAGAGTGGTTGCGGATAGGGATAGGAAGTACGATATCATTCACTTGAGAACCGCTTCTAAAGATATATAGGAGCTACAGCGCACATTGCGTCCTTGAGGTGTATGACGAACATCCAGTTCGATGGGCATGTTCTTCGACCATTCGATGTCCCAACAAGGCAGAAACTGCCCATCCGCAGTAGTGGTTGGCTCCATCTGTGTATACGCCTCATAGAAGTCCATGGTGGAAGTTCCGGCCTTAACCACCTTCGAAACGGAGATACTTGGAGCCTCTATAGGGCCCCCCCGGTTCGGCCCATGCTTCGCCACGCCTCCGCGCTTCGCTGCTCCTCCGCGACGAGGAGTCCTTCCAGACTGAGGGACAGGGGCACATGTTCGAGCCCACTGTGATGACCCAGGAGGCGGGAACAAAGACGCGAAAAACCGCTTGGCGGTCCACGGCGTTTTTTTGTCTCCGGAGGAGGGGGGGGGGGGGGGGGGCAAAAATGATGGCGGTGGTGAAGTGAGGAAGCTTCTCAGCATCTTTGAGTAGTGGCTTCTCGATGGTTTTTCTATGCTTAAGGAGAAGAAGCCATGTAGAACAGTGCTTGGAAGACATGGGAGTGGCGCGAGGTAGTTGGAAAGGATAGCTTTTGATTTTTCGTGCATGTTTCGGAGGTTCCTGATTCCTGATGCAAGGTTTCCAGTTTCCACCGAAGACAGTTTGAGGAGCAACCAGCTTCATGTTCTTCAAACAATCCAGCATTGAGAAACAACTCAGTGTGAGCATTGGTTTTTAAATTTGTTCTTGCCCATGGCAGTGAACCACCCAACAAGAGCCTTTTGCATCACGGAACGTATTCGATCATTTGTAATCCTGTCCCCCCCCCCCCAAAAAAAAAAAAAACATGGCCCCCCCCCATTAAGAGAAACTCGGTCGCATTTTTTTAAATAGGGGGTCCCTGAAATCGGGGGGGTCCAAAATAGGGTCACCTGGCAAGAGCTTCAAACCAAAAAGTCATCCAGAAACTTTTTATATAACATCATTCATTAAACTCGTATCAACAATTCAAAAAACCTCCAGATCGAAGGGTCTTTCTTCCTTTTCCCCTACAAAAACCTTTATTAGAATACTGCTTCTTCATTAGACTAACAACCAAAGCTTTCGAAAGGTGATGTCGCTGTGCCGTGCGGTTTTGCAAGACCGCGGTGGCGTCCGTGCATGAGTCCGTGAGTCCGTGCCATTAACCTGCTGATGTAAACGCACAGGGCGGACAGATGTGGGCAGTTACGGTTGTTCAAAAAAAAAACTACCACAAAAATCGGCCATGTTGGTAGTTTAGTAGCGGCTTGAATTGGCGGTAATCTAAAAACAAATATAAGCCGAATTTAGGGCTTCGAACGTGGTGTTTTTTTGTTTGGGGAGGCTTTTTTAAGAGGTACTCGGATTAGCAACCCGCCTAGATTCACATTGTGATCCTACCTCGTGACGCCTCAGCATCCAAATAGTTCCCTTCCGTGCCACTGTTCTTCTTGTTCTGGTTTGTGCTTAGCGGTTTAATTAGCGCTTTGTCGATGATAGCTTTGTCGCCAGAGCCCGGGGCACATCCCAAAAAAAATACCTCCAAACCTCCTTTGGAAAAGAAAGTTGCAAGCCGCAAACCCGTTAGCCCATCAAAGGAAGTTGTCCAACATGGGCAAGTCGTGTTATATATTCTATTTACCTGACAGTCACCCCGTGGACGAGGAACCCTACGGTTTCTAACGTGTGGGTGGCAGAGACCTGGCGTGATGCAAACATCCATCCAGAGAGGTTTTGCCGTTTGAGCAAACACATGTGCAGGACGTGGGGACGCCCCGACTAAGTCTGACTGGTGGGTTGCTAGCTGTTAGCTGTTCACATGAAGGGATCAGTCCGAGAAACCAACGGTTTTTTCTTCGAAAAAACGCTCGACCGTGACCCGCCGAAGTGGAAGTGGCATGAAGTGGCCATCTTTCTGAGTAACGCCCGACACCCTGCGCCAGGAGATTGAACTCAGACTCTTGGAGAACAGTCTCACGTTTTCGGAGTTCGGGTGGGTTCCCGGTTTTTTGCTTGGCAAAGTTTTTTTGGGCAGCAGAAGGTGAGTCGTACAGTTATTGCTTTATACTGGTTACGTTTTTGTTGACCAGTGGTGGGGCCAAGTGGGATATTGCCTTCTCACCACGGAATCCGCGCACTCGGCTTTAATTTGGTAATTTGGTAGAAGATGGTAGAAGTGACGTCACGCTCAGCCCCCAGTTGTGTGAGTCGCCGTTGACACCTTGCTTCTCGTTGGGCCACAACGAGAGAGAAACGACCCCCACCCGGTGCACGCACGCGCCGGTCGTGTTCGGGAATGGCCGGACGGATCGGTCTGGGATGGTCTGGGACCGGAACACACAGGAACTGTACCGACTGGTTCGGTACCACCGGGTTAGTCCTACAGCTTTTGGTTTAAAAACTCTTGATCGGGGTGAGTGGATTGATTTTTTTTTTTATATTGCGTATATTGCGATTGTGTGTGTATGTGTGTTTCCTTACACATCACCGAGTACCAAAAAGAGGGTGCTGGGTGGGATCATCGACGGGAAGAGCTTGGGGACTGCTTTGAATGGAAGAGGTGCCATGCTGAAATATGTCAGACGGATCAGTGGCCAGGCCTCCCGCACACAGTGAGCACTGGTCAGTGGCCAGGTTTGGCCATCAAAGGAGTGAGGGCCCACCATGTGGCCTTGCCAGCAGGTCTTCCCTCTTAGAATCACCCCAGCAGGGCTGAGATAGAATCACCAAAGAAGAGAACAGCCATTGTTGCTACAAGTGACCCAAGCACATCCAAACACAATGAGTTCCCCAAAGGAATCGTCTAAAGTCCACTGTGTGAGATGGGGTGTCGACCTGCTGCATAATTTGCGCCATCGAATCTGAAGTTGTTACGAGATGTGTAGAAGTACCACCCCGGACACCTCTTTGAAACACCCCCATCCAGTGAGTGGATTACAGGTCGATTGCACCATCCCCGAAACCCCCAACATGATCGCCCTTCAGAACATCCAAGCCAGGCTGCCGACGCATTTGAACACCGAAAGCCCACGGAGAGAGAAAGGCCTTGCCTGGCCTCTCCTGAAATCCGAACTCGAACGCACACCGGTTGACCTGTTCAATGAAAAGGATTGAAGAGGGGTGGGTCTTCCAAGGCCAGCTCTCCTTGTTCTCCTCGATTCTGCTGATGCTGGCGACGATTGTCGTGGCCACCTTCAACTCGGAAGTGTTGGTCGATCACCTTCAGGCGCCCAAGCTGCGTCGCTTTGGGGTTCAGGCGCCGGAAGGGGGCATCCGAACCGCGCACAGATGTGGTGTGAATAAGAGCACAAGTGGGGAAGGAAGGGGGTGGAGAGAAGGGGTCCTGTTTGGGGTCGGCCTAGTTGCAGCCAGCTCACTGACCTTTTGGGCCGGTTTCGTGGATGTTCCAATTCTCATCAATTCACATTGAAAGCTCCAATTCCAAAGTTTTATTTTGACCTCGCTTTTCAGTGCTTAAAGATCTTGGAGGTCCATACAGACCATACAGGGAGTGCTATTTGTTCCGCTCCGGATAGCTGCGGGCGTGGTCCCCCCCCCCCGAGCGATCAGGGCGGAAAGACCAATGAGTTTGCCGGGCATAAGCAGTGCACTCGCACCCTGATTGATACTATACCCACACAATGGCAGTCAATGTTTCACATGCTGTTTCGCCTGATTGAATGGATTGACGCTGATGCTGGTGACCCAAAGATAAGAGCTTGCAGCAAGCTGCCCATAAAGGTGTTGTCAACGTGGCGTTGTAGGGAAGGATTTGATTGTTGTGTATTCTGTATATGGCATATATACCCTAGGGCTCCTGGCCCATCTCAGAAGGTGGGCACAGACCTCCTGACACCCACCCTATACCCACCTTTTCAGGCAGTCGGAGCCCTACAGGCTATAGCTAGTCTACTAAGCAGCGGTGCCCTTGTTCCCTTCGTAGCTTCTTGTTTGTAGTACTGCCAGGAGCTACTTAGCTCGTAGCTCCTTGCCTCACACGGCGATCCGGGGCGGAGCTCGCGGCTGAAAACCGCTCCGTGTCGGTCACCGGAGCCGCTGGCAGGACATGTGCAAAACCTTCAACGTACCGACCAAGTTCATCGGCTACACCTTGCTGCCCATCCTAGGCCAGGGGAAAATCGCTGAGAAGGGGGACGAAAAGAATGTTTGCTCATTGTCTTCTCATAATGGAGCATTTCATGGGGTAGTCAATTGTCAGTGGAAAGCGCCAAGTGTTTGTTTGCCCCTTTCTTTGCGTCTGTCAATCGTCAAGCCACTTGCATGTTGTTCCACAGCCGTCCTCCAGTCGGTCCGCCAGACGGTCCTTTTTGAGCGTCACTCGTGCATGGAGACGAGTAGGGAATCGAATTCTGTTGGTGGAGGTGACACATGAATGTAGTCCCCCCAGTCCGTCCAAGTCTTCTTCTTAGTGGTTTTTAGGTTGTTTTTAGCGGCGGAAGCGCCCCAGTTGGACAAAGACAGCAACATGATCAACATGCGGGAATATTCTTATATATATGTACTGTAGCAGCAAGTACGGTCACAAGATATCATAAGAAACTGTTTTTGTTCAGTCTAGTTACTGCATGGTTCTGCTGCAGCTATTGCAGTTACCCTAACTATTTGTTTAGCTAACTGTTAAGCGGTGAAAAACACAACAATATGTCGTCTAAACGTATTATACCCAGACACTCTGACATACCCAGACACTCCATGGGACTGCCATATATGCCAACATTGACCCCAAACCACCTCAATTGATCGGCACTCCTATGGCAGTCCGGTGGAATGTCTGGGATATGGAATTTATGAAGTGCTGGGGGTACATCATTCCATACCCCAAACACTCCATGGGACTGCCATAGGACTGCCGCCCCATTGACCCCCCCTGCACCACCCCTGGCCTG